TTCAGAAAGCAGTTGCATGAGCAGTCACAACTTGCATATAAAGTGTCTTTCGAAAGAGGTTTTATATTTTCGAAAGGCGAATTCCAGATTTATAGTGCAGTACGAGCAAGTTGAACATGTATTTTGTTTCTTCTTTTACTGATTTGACATCACACCCATCAAAAGCAAAAACAAAATACATGTAAACTTTTGAGCGAATTGAGAGTTGACATAACACCCTCCATACAAAATACATGAGGTTGTCGTTGTTGTAATCTAAATTCGCCAGTAACACCACCTTGTAATTTGTTTTAACTTTTGATGGGTGTGATGTCAAATCAGTAAAAGAAGAAACAAAATACATGTAAACTTTTGAGCGAATTGAGAGTTGACATAACACCCTCCATACAAAATACATGAGGTTGTCGTTGTTGTAATCTAAATTCGCCAGTAACACCACCTTGTAATTTGTTTTAACTTTTGATGGGTGTGCTGTCAAATCAGTAACAGTGATGCCAGACATTCTCTGTTAAAAATCCCACGAAAATGGGGAAAAAATCCCTCAATTACCCACATCTTGAAAATGTATCCCACAAAATTCCCAACGAATTTAAACATATACATGTTTCAGTAGTAAAGAAGTAAAATTCATATAAAATAATAATAATAGTTTGGCGCTTACACATATGTGGGGAGGGACCTACAGTTTTACGCCGACTCCGAATGGCGAGTGTATTTTTATGAGAAGCTGTTTTTCATGGCAGGAATACACTCGGAGGTTTGCCATTGCCTGCCGAGGGCCGACCGCTGTCAAGAAAAAACCCCTTTTCCTNAACTCAGCGCTTGAGTTGGTTAAAGTAAGAAAATTTTCGAAATTGTCCTTATACTTTTTAACAATTATATACCATTTCACTCCACATCACATCTTCAGAACGATTAATTACGTAAGAATGTCGAATATTCGTGAATTTTGATCAACTATGCAACAATTACTGCGTCAAAAGAAAATCCCTTATTTATATGAAATGTCCCTTTTTTCCCTTTTAATAATTTTTGATGCAAAATATCCCTCAAATAGGGAAATT